CTAAGCAAGAGTGTTGTTAAGTGAGTTTCACCACATTTTACAAGTTGACCACACCCACCCAGTCAGATGACTGGCAAGCCACCCCCCCGGTCACATGGCCAGCAAGCCACTCCCAAAAAGCAGGCCACACCTACAGAAGAGGTTCTAAAACATTTTGAAACCCCCCACTGGCGCAAGTGTATTCCACATGACGCAGAGACACAAGGAAGGAATAGGATTTTCATTTGGGGCATTTGTCTCCTTTCAATTTTTGGGTCATTCCAGTGAAAGTGTACAGATTATTGAAAGCAGACTCTAAAAGGAAATATGATTATAGCTTTTCCAGCCAATGCATTTTATTAAAGGGTAGGAACTATTACGAACTTCATCAGATGCACAGAGGGGCTAGACCAATGATGGCTAATCTTTTTGTCATCGCGTGCTGAAAGCACACCCATAATGTGCCCCCCTGTGCATGTACGTGTGACACCTAGCAGGCCTCCCTGGAGATTTCTGGGCCCAAAAACGGGGTGTGAGGGGAGCGCCGCACCCCCCATGCTCCCCCACCCCACCTCACATGTGCACACGACCCCCTACCCACATGTGCGGGTGCCTCACACATGTGCACCCCTGTGTGCCATAGGTTTGCCAGCACAGGGCTAGACTGATGCACAATTTAAATTGGTGTGGGTAGTTATTCAAATGCAAGTTACATGTAAAACAGATTACCAATACCTTATCACTTAACGGATTAAGACCCCCTTGCGGTTGTTGAAACCTTCTGATCCTAGTAACATAGCTTTAATACAATAAAATAGTAGAGTTGGAAGGGACCTTGGAGGTCTTCTAGTCCAACCCCCTGCCTAGGCAGGAAACCCTACACTGTTTCAGACAAATGGCTGTCCAACATCTTCTTAAAGACTTCCAGTGTTGGGGCGTTCACAACTTCTGGAGGCAAGTTGTTCCACTGATAAATTGTTCCAACTGTCAGGAAATTCCTCATCAGTTCTAGATTAGTTTCCACTAAATGCTTCTTGTCCTATTCTCAGGTGCCTTGGAGAATAGCTTGACTCCCGCTTCTTTGTAGAAGCCCCTGAGATATTGGAAGGTTGCTATCATGTCTCCCCTAGTCCTTCTTTTCATTAAACTAGACATACCCAGTTCCTGCAACTGTTCTTTATATGTTTTAGCCTCCAGTCCCCTAATCCTCTTTGTTGCTCTTCTCTGCACTCTTTCTAGAGTCTCCACATCTTTTTGTCATCATGGTGACCAAAACTGAATGCAGTATTCCAAGTGTGGCCTTACTAAGGCCTTATATATATATTAATATGTTTCAAGTGTAGCTTACATCTGTCTTAGGTATTCCATGATAACACATCCTGTAAATTGACAATAAATGTTTCCTTGTGCAGTCCACAATGAATAATATATGCTTTGTGCATAAGGTAAGACTAGAACTCACAGTCTCCCAGTTTCTAGTGGCACCTTAAACCTATACAGCAACCTGGCTCTTTAAGCAGTAATACTTTTTTTCTCCCATGTTCAAATGAAAGCCCAAATAATATTGAGCTGCTTTAATGAATGCCAAAGACATTTCCAGAATACTGTTTGAAGCATACATAACCCTCTTGCTGTAAATAAAGAGTGCAGGGACTTTTGATTTCCATTGGTTTTTAATTAAAAGTGCCCATAAGATACTTACTAAGATAATAAATGTCAAGGGATCTGTGGACACCTGCTGCTCATACATACCACATTGCTTAATCCAAAAACTAGAGAATGACAATGAGCATTTAAAGAGATGAGCAGTCTGAGCAATAAAGAAAACAGTTCTCTCTATTTACATACAAACTCCTCAGCTGGGAACAGTCAATAGCACTGCAATTGGGTTTGACGCTATTGGAAATTGCATCATTCAATGAATATTATGTTTTGCTGTTGGGTAATTCTTTTTTGCATTGTCATAAACTACGAACATCTCAGGGAACTGATGGGATACCAGTGTGATAGCAGGTACAGATTAACAGAGTTGGAAGGGACCTTGCAGGTCATCTAGTCCAACACCCTCGTCCCTGCCCAAGCAGATCCTACACCATTTCTGAGAGATGTAAATCCAGTCTCTTCTTGAAAGCTTCCAGTCATGAAGCTCCTAGAATTTCTGAAAGCAACTTCTGTTCCATTGTTGATTGTTCTCACTGTCAGGAAATCCCTCCTTATTTCCAGGTTGAATCCCTCCTTGTTCAGTTTCCAACCATTATTCCTTGTCTGGCCTTCAGGTGCTTTGGAAAATAGCTTGACCTCCTCCTCTCTATGGCAGCCCCTCAAGTATTGGAAGGCTGCTATCCTGTCTCCCTTGGTCCTTCTCTTCACTAGACTAGCCATGTCCAGTTCTGCAACCGTTCATCATATGTTTTAGCCTCCAGTCTCCTAATCATCTTGATTGCTCTTCCCTGCACTCTATCTAGAGTCACAACATCTTTTTAATAGTGTGGTGACCAAAACTGGAAGAAATACTCTAGGTATTCTAATTGCTTTATGGAACAGACTGTGGAATGAGGTCTACAGGCTTTATAGAGTGACATACGTACCTCCCTTGATCTTGATTGTATCCCTCTGTTAATGCAATTTAGGATTACATTGGCTTTTTTGGCTCATATTTAATTGGTTGTCAATGAAGACTCCAAAACCCTTCTCAGAGTTATTACCATTAAGCCTGGTTTCATCCAACATTGCCACTTTTAGAATCTTTGGCAACAGAGAATACCTGTAGGGTGCATAAGGAATGGTTTTGAAGGACAGGAGAATAGTCCCAATACCAAGTTAACAGTCAGATAAGAGGTACTTGAGCCTGGGCCAACAAAATAATTTGAGAAAATGCCATTCCCTAGTTTAGACAAAGATAAAGCAAAGGAGGGGGGAGCCACATTCAGACTTGTAGCTTATATTACTATAGATGTTACAGTTGGAATAGTCCTGACCTATATGACATTGATTTCTTAGCCTGGTCTGCCATGTTGGGTTGACAAGACCTCATTCCACAGTCTGTTCTATAAAGCAATCAGAAACTTTGGTTTTAGGAATTAAATTATGGAAAAATATGATTGAATATTATTGATATCAGGTTCTTGAAGCTGCAAATTTGGCAATATGTCCCAATGAATGGAATAGGGTTTCATAGAAGGGATGGTAACCCTTAGACCTCCAGATGTTGCTAAATTAAAATCTATATAGCTTGCTATGTTGCTTAGGGAAACTAGGAGAAGC